CCAGATTCTTTTCAGTGGTGCCTAGTGACAATGGGCACAAACTGAAGCACAGGAAGTTCCGTCTGAACACGAGGAAGAACCTCTTCCCTCTGAGGGTGACAGAGCACTGGCCCAGGCTGCCCAGGGAGGTTGTGGAGTCTCCTCTGGAGATATTCAAGACCTGCCTGGACGTGGTCCTGTGCAGCCTGTTCTGGGTGACCCTGCTTTGGCAGGGGATTGGACTGGGTGACCCACAGAGGTCCCTTCCAACCTGAGCATTCTGTGATTCTGTGCTCATGGCAGGGGGGTTGGAACCAGATGATTTTTAAGGTCCCTTTCAACCCAAACCATTCTATGATTCTGTGATTCACTTCAGAATAGATTACTGGGTGTTTATAGTGTCTCGGGTCTTCTGTGGGTTTGTTGCCAGCTACTTACCTCCTATATTGCTCCTTAATGCTTTGCCGCTCCTGTGTCCTGTGGAATTGGCTAACCAGCATGACCATAAGATATTGGCTGACCGTATGCTGTTCTCTTTCTACCAGGCACCTCCAATGAAGTGGCCCAGTTCTTATCTAAGGAGAATCAAGTTATCATCCGGATGAGAGGCCTTCCATTCACTGCTACTCAGGAGGACGTCTTGGGGTTCCTGGGGCCAGAGTGCCCAGTCACAGGAGGGAAAGGGGGACTTCTCTTCTGCAAGTACCCAGATGGCAGGCCCACAGGAGATGCATTTGTGTTATTTTCCTGTGAAGAATATGCACAGAATGCACTTAAAAAGCACAAAGAAATACTTGGGAAACGTTACATTGAACTCTTCAGGAGCACAGCAGCCGAAGTCCAACAGGTTGTAACTATTGTCTACGAGACTCAAAAGTGAACAGTTGAAACGTTTCTTCTAAAGCTTGCACGCAAATATATTGTAGACTACTATGAAAGTGTATTATATTAAAGGTGTCAAAATCTGGAAAGGGCAGTATGTGCTTCCTGATTGGCATGGAAAATTGATCAGTGTTGTTTCTCAGACTGTAGAGTAAAAATCATTGGATAATTTTCTTGTACTTAAAGGTTGACTGAAATCACAAGAATACTTTTAAAAATACATTAGACTGATAGTATTATAGTAATGTTTCTTAAAAATCTGCAGTGTTGTCCTTAAATTCTGGACTACACGTGCAGATTTTCTAACATTAAATCCAAATCTGGATGCATTAAAACAGCTTTTCTCTAGGGAAACTGCATTGTTAGGAGAAAAGAATTACCAGGGTGTATCTGGTTTTTGGTGAAACAAAGTGAAAGATTTGTTTTCCTCGGATAATATATTTCATTTTTTCCCCCATCCTTCACTAGTTCCTATTATCACCTTCTTAAACAGGTAAAACCATTTTATTTTGGCACCAGCAACTCAAGCTGGTGGAAAACATCGCATACTGCATTTTTCTGCCTGACACAAAATATTTCTAGACTGATTCTGACTCCTTGGTTCCAAAGGGAACCATTTTAAGATTTGATCTGGTCTTTGCGTAACCGCTGACTACAAATACTTAACACAGTTACTGTTTCAACCGATGTGACATGAGAATTCTTTTCCATAGAAGTGATGGGGCAAGGGAAAGAATGTCCCCACTTGTAGACCTGCCATTTACCCTTAGTGCTGTGATACTGAGATTAGAGCAGCCAAGAATCTGAGATGTGTCTTATGAAGACAAAGTAGTGGTGGCATGGTGAGATTTTTTTTTTTTTTTTTCCTTCCTCTTCAGTTCTCCTCCTTAAAGAGAAAAAACCTAAGTCCTCTGAGGAACAAAACCACTCTGTCACAGTGACCGAGTCCTTGCTCTCATTTTTGTTAGGGAGACCTGGATAAAACTTGTATAACTTATATTCTATCAATATGTCATTACTTCTTTCGCTGACAGTTGTCTAGGTTTCCCATTTTAGGGAATTACAGGCTCCTTGTCTGAGTGACTACAAGAGGTAAAGCCAGCTCTCATCTACTTGATTTTAAGACAAAGTAATTGCAATGTTCTGTACACAGCTGAGGGAGAGGATTTGACCTGAAAGGTGCTACAAGTAGAATCTTGAAAAAAGGCTTCTGTTGAGACAAAATCCCTAGGCTGAATCATTATTGACAAAACTAAAGCTTTGTAACCTCTTCGTTTGGAATGTGTGTCTTTATTTCTGATGATCATTGCTAAATATGTTTTTCAGCAGTGGGCCCCAACAGAAAGTTGTATTCCCTTTGTCGTTTGAGAGTGACTCGAGAAAATAAAAAGTTGAGCTCAGGGTCTCCTATAGTTCTTATATACATATGTACATACATATATATATATATATTTTTTTTTCCTTCCTGCCCCACCCCCACAAAACCCCGAGCTTGGAGATGAGTACTCACCCTCTCTTAACCAGTCAGGTTTAATGAAGGAATTAGAGCTAGTGTTTTTACTTGTTAGTTATTTCAGGTCTCGGTTCTTTTAAAATTACTGACTTTAATTTATCCTAATTTAAGTAAGAATGATATGTGATGATACATTAGCACAGGCGTGGTTTTCAGATGTTCCTCCTTTAGGATATTCTAAAATGAACTGTAATCTGCTTTTAACTTTTTTATAATGAGATTAGGAATGTCTACTACTAGGGTCTAGCAAATTAAATTTGTAAGACTTCCTCTCTCCCCTTCTGCGTTTGAAACTTTCAAATGCCCAACAAGAAACTGTCCTCAATAATATGGTCTAAGGGTTTAAGAAGGTTGTTTTATCTGATGTTGGAAGTGGATTTATTTAAATGTGTGAAATAATATTGTGAGAATTGATTTGTGCTCAGCCAGGTGATGTGTAAATCTCTTACCAGTGTGCTTTTTTTGCCAACAGGTACTGAATCGGTATATGTCGACACCTCTTATTCCCACTCTCCCAACTCCCATCATTCCTGTCATACCCCCGCCGTATACCATTGCCACGGGCAGCATACGTGACTGTGTCCGGCTCCGAGGCCTGCCTTACACTGCCGGCATTGATGACATCCTGGAATTCATGGGAGATGCCACAGCTGACATCAAGCCCCATGGAGTTCACATGGTCCTTAATCAACAGGTAACAGCATTTGCCATGGGAGGGCTAACTTTCCGGTTACTGGACAGAGGTGGAAGGCAGGGTAGCTTACCCATTCTTGGCTGTGCTTTAGGTCGTCTAGAATCTTGAGAAAGTACTGTGTTCTGTTTGCCTGTCTTTTTGTTCCTTCCTGGCCCTTGTTTCTCTTCCCCGTCTACATGCACACTTGCTTTTCTTTTTGTATATGTGTCTATAAGGCCAGGGAGAATGAAGCTTGTTCTTTTAATGATAGCGTTGTCCTGGAGGCTGTCTTAAATAGTCCCTTGTGTTTCAGTCGAGTGCTGGAAATACCCAAGACAGAAATGTCTCACGTTAGGTGACATAGCTGTCAGCTTCAGGGTTTCTGCTCAATGGCAGGTGTGTTTGAGTGGTATTTGTGGGAAAATTAGGTTTTCCTAACTTCGAACTTGATTAGATACTTCTCAGGCTTTAAAGGAAGTTGGTAATTAAAAATTGTGGTTTGGATCTATTTTAATGATGTAATCATAGGGATATTTTTTCCTATTGTCTTGTGTTTATAAATAACCCCTTATTAGCCACAGAAATATTGACATATTAAAGAAAATAAATGAGTGAAATCTACTATATTTGTTCTACTTTTTTGTTAAGAAAGCTTTTAGTATTTTATACCTACAGCAATGTCTGTCAGGTTGCAGAAGTTCAAACCTGAAAATCAATTTCTAAGGTAACTATGGACTTCACTAAAGCAAGTCTGGAGCTGTATACTGCTGTGCGATTACCGAAAAAGTAGTTACAGGAGAGGCGAAAACAGACTCTTCTAGAGCTTCACAGCAAAAGAAGAAGAGACGGCGTTAATAGACTGCATCAAGGAAAATTCCGAGTGGGTGAAAAGGAAGACAAAAAATCGCAATGAGAAATTAGTTAAGCACCTGAACAGGTTCCCAGAGATGCTGTGGAAAGCTTGGAATTCGAGTGGAGAAGGCAATGAGTGGCCTCCTGTAACTTGAAAGTTGTCCCTGCTTTGAACAGCATTTGGATTAGAGGCCTTCAGACTTTGTTTCCATGATAAATTGTGCTCTGTTTCTTTCTGTAGAAGACAGAAGTAGTGTTGTGGTAACTGGGCGCTGGTTGCAGGAGTCTCACCTTTCTGCTCCTAAAAACAATTGTGGAGTTACTGGTCGCTGGTGCCAGATGAGGAAGAACAATACAGACTTTCAGTACACATTTGATCTTAGTACTTTCTGCATTTCTTGTGCTCTGGGTGTTTTAAGAACAGGTTGTCTTATGATTATTTCCCCACTCCCCCAGGGACGACCATCAGGTGATGCTTTTATCCAAATGAAATCTGCTGACAAAGCTTTTATGGTGGCTCAAAAATGTCACAAAAAAATGATGAAGGACCGTTATGTGGAAGTATTCCAGTGTTCGGGAGAGGAGATGAACTTTGTTTTAATGGGTGGCACTTTAAATCGTAGTGGCTTATCCCCACCGCCATGTAAGTTACCATGTAAGTCTGCAATTCTTCTGCTCTCTGCTGCTAAAGGCTGATATGTGGTAGGTGCTGAAGCTTTGTGGCCTTTCACCTTTTGACTTGGGTTTTGCCGTGATCAATAATCACCCATCTGTATACGTGCCGAGATTGGAATTGTTCCCTTTGGGCGATAATGGGACTGATCAGAGGCATTTTTATTGCGTTTTTGGTGGTGAGTAGAGGGTGGCAAGGCCTTGCCAGTGAAATCGTTGCACACTTTGCTTTGTATGGGTGACTGTTCTTCTGAGCTCTGCGGTAGATTTGCCTGTAGTGAAACCTACTTCGAATTAGGGGGATTTTTAAAAGGGGGAGAAATTCTATATTCTAGCTGCCAGTGAGTGCTCTTGCTGTATTGCCTTAGAGCATTGAGAAGGTACTCTTTGGGCTTATTTTTGAAGCAGAACACCTACTTGGACTGTATGCTAACAGACTATAGAGTGGTGAAGTTGGATGGTTTTTTATATTTTTATTTTATTTAAGATTACAGTGAATCTTATTGTGGAACTATAATGGGACTTTATTGTACCATTCTAATCGGTCCCACTACCAAATCTCTAAGCACATACTGATGTGTATTTGCAAAATCGTAAAAAGCTGCCAAATACAGTATTTAAAAACAGTTTGGCTGCACACCAAACAAATCAGATATTTGTTCATCAAAATACATCGGACTAGTGAAGGTTTCTTTTTTCCATTTGATATATCCTAAAAGTGTTTTTTGAAGTTGCAGGAGGCTTATACATGAAGACTCATGGTCAGCAGTTGTAGATGTCCATGTGTAGCTAGTATTACGGTACTTTTGTCCCACAGAGTACAACTTCTGTTAGAAAGAACAGAGGGTGTGTTGGTGGGCACGCCTGCTTTCTCTGTGCACGTGGCTTTATGCTTTCTTTGAATAATGCTGAAGTTCCCTACTTTCCCTTTGCATATGGACGAGGCTGCTCAGCTCTAGGAGTTGTGAACTCTTAGGAATTGCTCGTTTCGAGTGCCCCAGTTGTCATTCGTGGTGCTGTAGCAGGGGTCTGCAGGGGACAGGCTAGAGAGCAGTCATTACACAAGTGTTCATTAATCGCACCCAGATGGTGTTAATCACATTGGGATGAATGATTTTTTTTTTCTATAGCAGAGATCTCCATTCTGATTATTTTTTGTTGCTGTGTCCTGGTTGGGTTTTTAGGTCTCTCTCCACCAGCTTATGCTGCTTTCCAGACAGCAGCTGTGATCCCAGCAGAGGCAGCGCTTTACCAGCCACAAGCCCTGTTGCCAACCACCAGGACTGCCCAGGCCTCTGCGGCTGCTCCTCCAACTGTTACCTACTACCCAGCTCAGGCTGCTCAGCTTTATATGAACTACACAGCTTACTATCCCAGGTAAACCCTAGACCTAGCTGTTTCTCTTGACATTTCATCTCAGTGGAGCAGGCAGCTGTGTGGTCACCTGGGAACAGCTCTTAAATTTGTACTTCTGGGGCAGATAATCCTGGGAACTTGATGTTCATCAGCAGAGGCAGCAGCCATTTTAACTGATTCTCTGTGGCCTTGTAATGAAGTTTTGCTTTTCCGTAGGTCCTGTTTGAATCTCATGATAATGTTGGTGTAATATTTAACAGTGTTTTTGGCACCAAGGCAATGTCATCAAGGCGGTTCTGTTTCTTGGCCATATGAGAAGCTGTGTCAATACATGCCTCTACCCTTGTCCCTTAGTTTGTTCTTGTGCTTACAATACTGTTGCCATACTGAAAGACTTATTATAGGTGTGTACTAGGTTTTTTTGTTTTGTTGTTATTTCTTTACAATATCGGTGAGACCAAAGAACAATTAACATGTGTAAACAAGGTAGGAGATCTCCACCTTTTCCCTTCCCACAGACGGTATCAACATGGCTCACAGAAGTCTGGTACTTGGGTCCCTGGGGAAACAGCTTGTTCATTCGTGGTGCCTAGGCTTGTGACACTTACTAACATGAGTATCTGGTAAATTGCTAGACAGGCTCTGACCAGAGATGCCACTTTACTCGCTGTTTTGTGGCTCGGAAGTACCAGTTTTGGCCCTTGCCTGCTTTTCACGCTGTGATTCCTGTCTCCCTGCCCCCTTCCCCCATGGTTTTATTAACAATCTTAGAACAAGTCATCTGCAGCTACTGTTTTTCTCCTCCCCTGTGAAATAACAAATGCTACTCTTTGTCTTCAACTACAAATGTTAGCTATTTTCCTTTCTCTCCTTTCTCTAAAAATAAATTGTCAGATGCTGAAATGAAGAAAGTCCACATAGCAGGCCATGTCAGGCCTGCTGCTTTTTCTGTGGTTTTTAGGCTTATTCTCAAATTTAATTTTTCGGTTTCATCTTTGCCTCTTCTGAGTACTAAAAGCAGGTATTGGCTTTCGTAATAATTTTGCTCCTCTTTTGCTTCCAGTCCTCCAGTATCTCCTACCACGGTGGGGTATATTGCAGCTCCTCCAGGAGCTGTAGCTGCTGCTGCTGGCACTCCCGCCCCCCACCC